CCAAAAGTAATTTTTAAGAGTTTTGGTGAAAACTAAGTATATAAATGTGAAGTAATAGATATCCAATAAATGTTTCACATGTTTATTCACTTTAAGAGCATAACAGCTTAAAATGTAGAATAACTGCCTGGGGTCTTCTTTTTAATTATTAATACTGTTGAGCTTGTGAAATTATGACTGAATTATACTTAACTTTTTATTTTAATGAAAAAAGTAATTGAATTACTGATGCATGAGACAGAATACAGGGTTGAATATGAGAGTTAAAAGGGGAAAAAGAAGTTGATGACAAAGGCAAACTAGCTTGTATTTCTTTGGACACGCAGAAACATCTCTGTCAGAGGCTCCTATACTTTGAGTGGTATTAGAGTCACCTGTTGTTGATTTTGTTATGTGCTGTTGTGTCGTTTGAGACTCATAGCGACCCTATGTACAACAGCCCTAAACTTTGCTCTATCCTGTGCCAATCGCATTGCCTCTGACACACCCATCCCGATTACCCCAGTCACTGAGTCAATCCACCTCATAGAGGGTCTTCCCCTCCTGCGCTGTCCCTCCACTCTACCCAGCATGATATGTCCCTCTCCAAGGACCTGTCTCTCCTTGCAACATGTCCAAAGTATGTCAGACAAAGCCCCAGAATCCTTGCCTCCAAGGAGTAGCCTGGTTTAACCCTCTCCAGGATGAATCAGTTTGTTTTGTTGGCAGTCCATGGTACATTCAACACTCTTCTCCAGCACCACAGCTCAAAGGCCACTGACTGGAAGAGATCTATATTTGTTCCCATTCCAAAGAAGGGTGACCCAACTGAGTGTGGAAACTACAGAACAGTATCGTTGATTTCACATGCAAGCAAGATTCTACTGAAGATTATCCAAAAACGACTGGAACAGCATTGAGTCACCTAGACAGAAATAAAAAAATGCTTATGTCAGACTCCCCTTCCCCAGAAACCAAATGTGTTGCCGTCAAGTTGATTCTGACTCAGCAGCACTGTAGGACAGAATGGGAGTGTCCATAGGATTTCTAAAACTGTAAATTATTTAAGGAAGTAGGCTGCCTTGTCCTTTTTCCTCAGAAGAGCCAGTGGTTTTTAACCACCAACCTTTTGGTTAGCAGCCAAAGGCTTTTCTCACAGTGCCACCAGGGCTCCTTCCGACTCTCCCTCCTGAATGCTTTAATAAGGGATGCCGCTTACGCATCAAGATTTTTTATTTATTTATTTTTCTTCACTTTTTAAAATTGTGATGCAAAGGCATCAAAATTTTTAAATTTGCTCCAGGTAGACCTAAGTTTTGAGAATCACTGTTATACATATCTCCTCACTCCCTATAAGAAATGCCACTAATAATCACAGTATTCAAAATTTCCTCCTTAATCTTGTTATTTTCTGCTATCCAAAATTAGAAAGTGTTGTTATGACAAGGTTCTAGAAAGAGAGTAGAAAAAAAATGAACTCTCTCTAAATTATGCAAATAAGGAGTCACCATAATTTGCCAATTCTCGGCAACTATCACTTGGCCACTTATTTATAGTTAAATGAACAATTGAGACCGTATGGTAGCTGTATAAGACTTGGAGTAAGAAGACTTGTATTCATATCCCAGTTTGACCACTTATTAGCATATTATGATGCAAGTAATTTAACCTCTCTTGAATTCCAATTTCTTTTGCCCTAACACGATAATGTCCCTGGAGGGGGGAGGGGAGTATAGATGATTAATACACTCAGCTACTGACTAGAAGATTGGAGATTCAAGCGTAGCCTGAGGCACCTCAAAAGGCAGTCCTAGTGATCTCCTTCCAGGAAATCAGACATTGAAAAACCCTGTGGAGCACACTGGCACACGTGGGTGCCACGAATCAGTCACCTTGATAGTACCTTTTATTTTTAAACATAGAAAACCCAAATCTATTATATAGATTTTTTTTAAACTGTGTAACCAAAACTGTAAAGAAATTGAAGAATTACTATTTGAAAGAAATTTTCTTAACCTTAGAAGTAATGTAACAGTATAAAAATATAATTATTTTCTGGAAATAGATGTTTTCCTGTTTCCCCTACCTTACAAATAGACCTCTGAATAAAGCAAATAAATTCTGTTGAATTTAACATGTCTAGTAAAGGGAGACAGACAACTTTTGTACTAATAAAAGGAAATTATAAACAAACACATACATATATAAGCTATGAAATAATTTTTGTTGTTGTTGAGTACTGTAGAGTCAGAACTGAACCATAGCTGACCCTCTGGTGGGTTTTCAGAGGCAGTTAATCACATGGGAGGAGATTGCCATCCTTCTCCCATAGAGCAGCTGGTGGCCTTGAACCACACATCTCTGAGATTTCAGCACAGCTTCTTGCCACCAGGCCACTAGAGTTCCCTATAGAATAATTAGCAATACACAAAGCATTCCTCCAGTACAACATGTTGTTGTTGTTGTTATGTGCCATCGAGTCGCTTGCGACTCATAGCGACCCTATGTACAACAGCCCTAAACTCCGCTCTGTCCTGTGCCAAT